GGGAAGGAAGAAAGGAAAAGGGAAGGGAGAGAGGAAGGAGAAAAGGAGGGAAGGAAGAAAGGAAAAGGGAGAGGAAGGGAGGGAGGGATTGAAGGAAGGAAGGAAGGCAATAGAGAAGGGAGAGAGGAAGGAGAAAAGGAAGGAAGGGAAGGGAAGGAAGAAAGGAAAAGGGAGGGAGGGAGGAACCGTTTATCTGAAATGGTATAGGGTCTCCTGCCCAAGCAAGGGGTTGGACTAACTGACCTCCAAGGTCCCTTCCAACTCTATTATTCTATGTTCTATGTTATTTTTGTGTTTTAAGGGATCCATTAAGTCCCTGGAGGTAGTTTATTGCCTCAGTAATATAGATAGTCCTCAAGTTATGAATACAGTGGAACCCAAAATTTCTGTTGCTAAGTGAGACAAGTGAGGAAGCGAGTTTTGCTCCATTTTACGACCTTTCTTGTCACAGTTATCAAGTGAATCCCTGCAGTTGTTAAACTAGCAACACGGTCGTTAAGTGAATCTGGCTTCCCCAATAACTTTGCCTGTCAGAAGGTCCCAAAAGGGGATCACGTGACCCCGGGACACACTGCGGCCGTCGTAAATAGAAGTCAGTTGCCAAGGGTCTGCATTTTGATTGCGTAACCATGGGGGTGTCTGCAAGGGTCATAAGTGTGAAAAGCAGTCACAATAAGTCACTTTTTTTCACTGTTGTCGTAAGTCAAGGACAGCCTATCTGCCTGGCTAGAGTAAAAGAGACATTTCTTTTCCGATGTTAGCATCAAAAATCGGGTTTAAGGTGGCCTTTTCATCAGTCACAGGTGTAATGAACCCGCTGCAGCTTGGCTGTTTTTATTTACTTCTCTGATTAATGAGGATTTAATCGCCCCCCCCGAGTAATTCAGACACCTACAAAACAGCATCTTAACCTTTGCACAAAGATGGAAGGTAGCCTCAGGATGAACACACGTTGGCTTCTTCCTGTCCGTGTGAGAGATTGGCCGCCTGCGTTCATTCTCTGTGACATCCCCCCCCAAATGGAAATGAAGATATCTAAAGCAGGGGTCGCCGACCTTTTGGACCTCAGGGACCACCAAATGCATCATTTTAAATCCCGCGGAACAGAGACCCTGGGAAAATCCCCCCCAAAGTCTGCAGGAAAATCCCTCACCCCGTTTTCCTACCGATCAATCGTTCTTTATTTGGGATTGCAGGATAACATCTCCAGCTCTGTTCTTAGGGGAGAGAGAGAGACTTTTGGCTTCCTGCAAGGAAAACAGCAGAAGCCGCAGAAGTCTTTCTTTGTCTCCCCCAAACTCCGCCAGAAATGAGTCTTTGCAGCCTCTTGGAGCAGGAGGCCTTGCAGGGTCCCAAAGACTCATTTCTGGTGGAGTTTGGGGGAGAGAAAGAAAGACTTTTGCGGCTTTCCTTGTGTGAAGCCAAAAGTAGAAGAAGGAAGAAGCGGAAAGAAGCAGCCTGGTGGCCAGGCCAGGCGCGTGGGGCGAGTGGGGCAAGTTCCCCCCCTCCACCCTTTCCCTCCTCCCCTCACTCCCTCGTGTTGTTCGCAATTCAAGCGATGTGCAAGCCTTGTGTTCCCGCGGGCCGCGTGGGCGGCGCAGCCTTGTGTTCCTGCACAGCCTGGATTAGTTGCTTTGGGGTGGGGAGGGCATTTCTCTGCGGACCACCCAAATTTGGGCCAGTCAGTCTCTCTCAGATCAACCTGCTTCACAGGGTTGTTGTAGGGAAAAGAGGAGGAGGAATGAGCATTACATATATTTGCCAGCTCAAGTTATTTGTAAAAATAATAAAGGTGGGGTACGAAAATAAAATAAGAATAAAACAAAACAAAATATCAAAGGGGTGAGGAAGGAAGGAAGGAAGGAAGGAAGGAAGGAAGGAAGGAAGGAAGGAAGGAAGGAAGGAAGGAGAGAGACAAAGGAGAGAGAGAGAGGGAAGAAACTTGGCTATTGAGGAAAGAGCTATCCTGCAAGTATGATACCGGTAGTCCTCAACTTGCATTGAGGACTATTCACTTAATGGTCGAAGTAACCGGCACTGAAAAAAAAAAGTGACTTATGGTCAGTTTTCGTACTTCCAACTGTTGCAGCACCCCCGGGGTCATATGATCAAAATTTGGAGGCTTGGTACCTTGTTCATACTTCCGACAGTTGCAGTGTCCCAGAGTCACGAGCTTTCTTGCCGCCGTCGTTCAGTGAATCCCTGCAGTCTCTAAGTTAGCAATCTGGTTGTTAAGGGAATCCGTCTTCCCCCCATTGACTTTATTTGTCAGAAGGTCGTTAAAGGAGAGGGGGTCAGGTAACCTCCAGGACGCTACAGTGGTCGTAAGAGGCTGTAACGGTCGTAAGGGCGAAAAACGGTCCTGAGTTGTTGTTGTTTTTTTCCCAGCGTTGTCGTGACGTTGAACGGTCACTAAATGAACGGTTATAAGTTGGGGACTCCCTGTGTTTGGAAATCCCACAACAGTTTTAACCCCGTGAGGGCGAACCTATGGCACAGAGCCATTTGTGCGGGCACACGAGCCCCAGCCAAACTTACCTGCACTGCGCATGCGCGCGCCTCCCAGCTGATTTTGGGCCCGTTTGAGGCCTTTTTTGCCCTCCCGGGGGTTCGAGGGAAGCCTCTGCAACCTCTGGAGGCCGAAAAACGGGCCCGTTTAGGCACTTCTGGTATTTCCGGAAGGCCCGTTTTTCAGCCTCCCGAGGCTGCAGAGGCTTCCCTCGAGCCTCCGGGAGGGCGAAGACAGCCTCAAACGGGCCGAAAATCAGCTGGGAGGCGTGCGCAGTGCAGGTAAGGGGATAGGCGGGTGTTACACACACACACATTCGCGGGGGCGCGGGGGGCAGGGTGCATTGCATTGTGGGTACCGGCTCTTGCCGCGTGCGCACGCTTTTGGCACCCCAGAACAAACAGGGTTGTGCCTTCACTGGTTTAACCTGCTCTGTGTTTACAATCCTGTGTCCAGTTATTGAATCCCCTCACCTTGTTCAATTTTAGCGGCCTGATCGTTCCCGAACGGGAGAGTAACGAGACGGTCCCCGAAGTCACGGCCACCTCCGGCTACGCACTCCTGCACTTCTTCAGTGACGCCGCCTACAACCTGACAGGGTTCAACATCACCTACCAGTAAGCTACCCCCCCCCCTGCATGCACCTCCCACCCTTGGACTCTGTACAGATAGTCCTCGACTTAACGTCCCGCAATTCAGCCCGTCTCTGGTATTCTCTGAGCTTGGTGGTTTTCTTGCAGACGTTTCATTACCCAACTAGGTAACCTCATCAGGGCTAGAGGGAAGTGGGGATTGCAGACGGATGGAAGGAAGGAAGGGAAAGGAAAGGAAAGGAAAGGAAAGGAAGGAAGGGAGGGTTTTGCAGAGAAGAGGAGGAGGAGGGAGGGAGGGAAGGGAAGGAGGTCTCTGGGGTCCTTGATGCTCTCTGAGATTGGTGGTTTTCTTGCAGACGTTTCATTACCCAACTAGGGAACTTCATCAGTGTTAGAATGGAGTGGCGTTTGCAGGGAGGAGGAGGAGGAGGAGGAGGAGGAGATGATTGTGGGGGATTTGGTGCTCTCTGAGCTTGGTGGTTTTCTTGTGGACGTTTTATTACCAAACTAGGTAACATTATCAGTGCTAGAAGGGAATAGAGTTTTGCAAAAAAAAGGAGGAGGAGGAGGAGGGCTGTGAGGTCCTTGGTGCTCTCTGAGCTGGGTGGTTTTCTTGCCGACTTTTCATGACCCAACTAGGTAACACCATCAGTGTTAGAAGGGAGAGGGGTTTGCAGAGAGGAGGAAGAGGACTGTGGGGTCCTTGGTGCTCTCTGAGCTCCTTGCAGACATTTCATGACCCAACTAGGTAACATCATCAGTGCTGAAAGGGTTTGCAGAGAGGAGGAGGAGCCCGGAGGGAGAGTGGTACCGGGAGAGGATAAGGAAGAGCGTGAGGAAGACTGGGGCATCCTTGGCGGTCTCCGATGTTGGCGGTTTTATTGCAGGCTGATGATGCAAGCACTGATGTCATTGCCTAGTTTGGTAATGAAACATCTGCGAGAAACCACTAAGCTGGCTATTAGCCGGCTGGGGAATTCTGGGAGTTGAAGTCCACTCAGCCATGTTTCTAAGGTTGAGAACCATGGTTCTACAGTTCCCTCTCTTTTTCTCTTTGTTTTAAACCTTTCCACCATGGTCAGCCACCTAGATTTGCTGGGAACCAGGCAGCATATAAATGTAATAAACTATTACGGTGGGTTGTCCTGCCAGCCAGGTGTGTAGGCTGGATTGGGCCGTTTTGTCCACCTCTCGAGTCCTTCCCAAGGACCTTGGGATAGGCAGATGTTGATGGCGGACAGTGTTAGCAGTCTCGTCGCAGGATGTAAAGCTGTCCCGAGTTAAAGCTGCCTCTTGCAATTGACCGATGGGGATTTTTGTCAATGCCGATCGTGTTCAAGTGATGCGCCAAGCGTTGTGTGTGTGTGTGCATGAAAGGAGGCTCAGCCAATCTCATTGTACACATGTTGTACTCTGACAATAAAGGCAATAACAATAACAATAACAATAACAACAACAACAACAACAACAACAACAACAACAATAATAATAATAATAATAATAATAATAATATTTCTGTTGGCGCTGCAATGACTCCTCTCATCCGGGACATCAGCTCTTTGAACTATTACCATCGAGAAGGAGATTCAGGGTATTAAGAACAAGGACGACTAGATTTAAGAACAGTTTTTATCCGAGTGCAGTTTTGAGTTTGACTGCAGGGTCATAAGATTTTTGTGGAATTTAATGGCTGAGAGTAATGGGGGTATTTACATTTTTAAATTGTATAGAGATTATTGTATGGTCTTTTGTGTTTAATTTTATTTTTCTTTCAATGGTGTTGTCCAGTTTTACTTGTGGAACAGCACCTCATTTCGTTGCACCCGCTTGCGAGTGTAATGACAAATAAATTCTTATGAATCTTATGAATCTTATGAATGGGAGAAACAGACAGAATGTGGAATCGGAGGAACACCAGCGCCCCCTTGTGATGTCTCTTGGAATGTCACCGTCAAAGTCATTGAGAAGAGCCAACGTTGAGGGACACGGTTGTAGAGGGCCACCCTGTCCAGAGCGGAGGGACAATTTCTCCCTCTGGGCCAGAATTGTGCCCCTTAGGTGTCAGGAATCAGGTTTTAAACAACTGGCGTTGTCTTAATTGAAGGGGCTGCGAACCGCCAGGAAAGGCTTTTGTTGCAAGGCAGGCGTTAGACGTCTTTGCTTTGGTGGAAATAAATAAATCCACCGCGTGTTGCTGCCGCCTGACTTCTCCTGACTCAGAGACAAGGTGGAGGGAGGACTCTCTCCGGTGGATTTTTTCTTCCGCCGTGCAGTTTTAAGACGGCTGGACCTTCCAACGCCCAGAATTTCCTCAGCCAGCGGAATCAGAAATGGTTTCCCAGAGAGTAGGTTGCCTGTCTCGTGAACCACTTCCTTTTTGGTGGCTTTGCGCACCAGGCGAGTTTTTTTTTCCTTGTTTATTTTCAGAACTTAGTGGTGCTCCTCCTGCAAAGTTTCGTTTGGCTTTGGTCCGAAGTATTGCAAAGGAGGCGTGGTTTCGTTGCCTTCGTGAGTGGGATGGGTCGAGGCGCAGGAGTGAATTTGTTAGTTCATGGTTTCATCTCAAAGTCTGTTTGCTTAGAAAAGGATATTTGTAGCTGCAGGGGTGAACCGTGGGGTGCTTGGTGCTCTCTGAGCTTGGTGGGTTTCTTGCAGAGGTTTCATGACCCAACTAGGGAACATCCTCAGTGCTACAAGGCAGTGGGGCTTGCGAAAAGGAGGAGGAGGAGGAGGAGGAGGAGGAAAATAATGACTGTGAGGTC